CCACTAACACACAGAATATTTACTGACACACACACACACACACACACACACACACACACACACAAGCTCATGTTCGGTCCTGCGGCCTTAAAGCAACATAACTAACTAGAGCGCTCCCGTTATAATGCATGAATGTGCGCTTCACACACGCATCACATTTCACACTTCACACACGCTGTGTTGATCACAGATGGGAAAATGAAAGGTAAAAAACGAATGTGACTTTCCTGCAATATACTCTGATATATATACACATGCAAGCTCATGTTACACGATGAAACATGCCGAAAAGAGGAAAGTTATTCATATCTAAGTGTTTATCTATTTTGGATGATTGTATTTAATAAAGACTTCATGATATGTGTTGTTTTTATACATCTGTGCGAGTGTGTGTGTGTGCGAGTGTGTGTGTGTGTGTGTGTGTGTGTTGGACCTTCCCCTCCTGAAAAACCTGATTCCCCAATTGTAGATAAACATGTAAAATAAATCATAAAAAATATGATTAAATATGTATGTTTTTGCATATTTTATTCTATAATTCATTATAATTATTATATATATTTAAATTAAAGTATATGCATGCATATATTATTTTATGTATTTTATTGATATATTAAATTCTATTTAATTTGTGTAATTTTTGCATTTATTTTAAATGACTTTTTTATTTAATATTTGTTTTAATTAAATAAAATATACTATATAAGACTATATATACACATATGTGTATATATACATATATATACATGTATCTGTATATATTGAGTGTTTATTACAAATATATATATGTATATATGTATATATATATATATATTCTTAATTGTTTAATTTAATTCATTTATTTTTCAGGGATATAATTTTATATACATATATTAAAATATATTTCGGGAATTTTTTATTTCTATATTTCTGACTTAGTGTCCCACTTACAGGTTTATATATGCTTATTTTTTATGTATTTTTTAAATAAATAGTTAGATTTAACTGTGTCTATTTTTCAGGTATATAATTTTATATAGATATATTATAATATATTTGGGGAAAATATATTCCCCAAACTGAATCATTGTGCCACTTACAGCATCATATATGAGCCGAGTCCATCTCTGGCTCTCAGTGAAACTGCACCTGTCACAAAAACATCAAGATGCATCAAGATTTTGGTCTTTACATTCTCATTTTGGTAAGACATATCCCACGATTCACCAAGAGTGAAAACATCTAGACGTCATAAACGAAACTGGTCCGTGATGTGTGTTTCTCTGTGTGTATTCTGCCCTTCCCTGCAGCGGTGTGTGTTCATGACAGACGCTCGCGTGTGTCTGCAGGCTTCACTTACAGCTCTGTCGCTCTGCATTCGTTCACACTGAGCTGTCGCTTCAAGCACAGACACAAACGTCCTTCAGTTCAACAAACCCTCTGTTTGATTCTCCGGTGTTTGTCGTGCATCATCTGAAAGACATCAGATCAAACAGACCGGTTTCATGTCAAAATAAGCCAAACTATTAAGTTATTGCTATTCTAACGCAAAGTTTCACGCTTTCTAAAGAGTGCAGGATGGGTCTCTCTTTAAAAGATCGTGTTGTAGGGGTTTGTCTGTATCAGTTTCACTGGATCTATACGGCATCTGTGCTCAAGACAAAGACAAGAGTCTCTCCACATTTCGAATGAGAGCAGAACACAATTAGTAAGTTCATTTGCTCTCTATATGGAGGACACTCCATTTGTTCGGTCCTGACTTTACAGGTTTACATTACACACCCTACACTGACTGCTGAGACTCTACACCTGTGGGAACCAACACACACACGAATACACAGATAAATGCACATTGTGGCTAGAGGTGAATGTATCATTGAATCACTGACTGAAATTATTCATTCAAAAACAGATTCATTCAGGAGCGAAACACGGCAGTGTTGCTCTGAGACACACAAATGTTCTGCTCCGGCTTTGATTGGAACTATTTTCAATGGCCAAACAGAAAAAAACAGACACTATTGTCTCTAATATGAAACTCACTCAATATTAACTTTTTAACTTTTGTTGTTGTCTAGAGTCAATACAACATTTGTGATTGAGCTCATGCTAATGGCTGCTAGGTGGTTGCTAAGGTGTTCTGTGGGTTGCTAGGTGGTGTCTTGGTGTTTTCTTACTGGTCCGAGTCCAAACAGGTATTCTATGATATCAAGATCTCCAGATATGACTCATGTTTTTATGCACTCTTGAGTGGTTGCTATGGTGTCCCGAGTGGTTGTTTGGGAGTTGCTATGGGGTTGCTAGGGTGTTCTGGGTGGTTGCTAGGTGTTTTCTTACCAAGTCAAAAAAGATATTCATTGATATCTAGATCTCTAGATATGACTCACATTGATATACTCTTCTGAGTGGTTGTTAGGGTGTTGCTAGTTGGTTGCTAAGGTGTTCTGTGTGGTTGCTAGGTGTTTTCTTACCAAGTCAAAACAGATGTTCAATGCTATCTAGATCTCTATATATGGCTCATGTTGCTAGGTACTCCTGAGTGGTTGCTAGGTGGTTGTTAAGGTGTTCTGTGGGTTGCTAGATGTTTTCTTACCAAGTCAAAACAGATATTCGATTATATCTAGATCTCTAGACATGGCTCATGTTGCTAGATACTCCTGAGTGGTTGCTAGGTGAGTTGTTATGCACTCTTGAGTGGTTGCTATGGTATCCCGAGTGGTTGTTTGGGAGTTGCTATGTGGTTGCTAGGGTGTTTGGTTGCTAGGGTGTTCTGGGTGGTTGCTAGGTGTTTTCTTACCAAGACAAAAAAGATATTTATTGATATCTAGATCTCTAGATATGACTCACATTGATATACTCTTCTGAGTGGTTGTTAGGGTGTTGCTAGTTGGTTGCTAAGGTGTTCTATGTGGTTGCTAAGTGTTTTCTTACCAAGTCAAAACAGATATTCAATGCTATCTAGATCTCTATACATGGCTCATGTTACTAGGTACTCCTGAGTGGTTGCTAGGTGGTTGTTAAGGTGTTCTGTGTGGTTGCTAGTTGTTTTCTTACCAAGTCAAAACAGATATTCAATGCTATCTAGATCTCTATACATGGCTCATGTTACTAGGTACTCCTGAGTGGTTGCTAGGTGGTTGTTAAGGTGTTCTGTGTGGTTGCTAGTTGTTTTCTTACCAAGTCAAAACAGATGTTCGATTATATCTAGATCTCTAGACATGGCTCATGTTGCTAGATACTCCTGAGGGGTTGCTAGGTGGTTGTTAAGGTGTTCTGTGTGGTTGCTAGGTGTTTTCTTACCAAGTCAAAACAGATATTCAATCTAGATCTCTAGACATGGCTCATGTTGCTAGATACTCCTGAGGGGTTGCTAGGTGGTTGTTAAGGTGTTCTGTGTGGTTACTAGGGGTTTTCTTACCAAGTCAAAACAGATATTCAATCTAGATCTCTAGACATGGCTCATGTTGCTAGATACTCCTGAGGGGTTGCTAGGTGGTTGTTAAGGTGTTCTGTGTGGTTACTAGGTGTTTTCTTACCAAGTCAAAACAGATATTCAATCTAGATCTCTAGATATGGCTCATGTTGCTATGCACATGTGAGTGGTTGCTATGGTGTCCTGAATGGTTGTTAGTGTGTTGCTAGGGTGTTTTTTGTGGTTGCTAGATAGTCACTCACTGGTTTAAGTTATAAGAGCCTCACCAACAAGACATTTTTGACCCCAGATGCAACAGCCACACAAACATCTCTAATAATTGAATAAAATTGAATAAAAATCATTGAAAAAATAGAAGATATGAAGTGTGAATCACCCGTAAAACAATGAAAAGAGGCTGACATAAGAAACAACAGGACAGGGAAACAAAGAAAGAAAGAAACTAACAGACAGATTGAGACAGGCGCAGCTAGTAACACTGTTGGCACCGCGAGCAGCACCGGCTCTCAGCCGCCAGGAAATGATGTAGCAGCTTCGCACCGTTCACTGTGGGTTACCGTGGCAACACTTGGCACATGCATGGATGCGCGGGATGAGAGAAAACTCTGGAAGAGACGAGACAGCGGATAAGCAGAAGAAAACAGTGCGCTCCGTCAGAGCATAAATGATTTAAGAGCTCAGGACCGCCGCTCCACTTTCACTGACCTTCTTCTGTCACACCTACATTAATTTTTAAGATCCATCTCTGATCTTCTTTTCCAGTCTACAGATGAGATAAAGTAGGTTTCAATCATAAAAACACACAGTGCATTGAGCAAAATCATGCCACAATTATTGAACTGTCAAGAA